TTGGCACCAAATGACTTGATCACCGAGTCACTATCCACCACCATCCACAACACGCTCAGCTAGCTGCGAGCAATACAGTCAGTGCTTCAAGATAGTCAATCATTTTAGAATCCCACCAGTTGTGTGAAGGATAGTCGCCAACTAAATCGCTGCGCTATATCGATACTTCGTTGCTCAGCGGACTGCCTTAGGGCTGACTGAGCATATTACTGAATGACGTTATTTCATATTCAGTACTAGCAGCTGACAATTTTATTGGTGATAGACCTATCTTTATACTCCAACGACACCCCCAAGGTGAGTAGCGAATACCAAAGCACATAAGCGATATCCACTTTGTCCTCGTCATGGAAGTGCGAAGTGATAAAAAAAAGGTGTTCTTTGATGACACTGTCTGCAAAATGTAGTATTTGTCTCCTTGCAATAGTCGAAATAACAAAACAAAAAAAACATATCAATACTATATCCAGATGCAGTAGATCTACACCACATACGCCTACAAACCCGTTCTTCAAATTTATTGTCTTATCGACATCAATCACAAACACCGGTCGAAAAAGCTCTTGCGCTTTCTCTACACTTTTCCATTTGTACATGGAACCCGATTCTCCTGTCAAAAGGTCATTCACATGTTTATGATGCCATTCAAGCCAAGGGCAGAATAACACCTCTTTGCTCATTTCTACATATTGCTGTTTAAACTGTACTTGCAATAGAAAATGCTTACTATTATCTTTATCATCGCAGAGATCGGGTCTGGCCAGCTCATTTTCGACATTACAGTTTCAGCTATGCCGCTCTTTCACAACTTACCTATGATTATCTTATCTCACCCAAGCACTATATAGTTATCATCTCCGATACTTCAATGTTGATAAACGCTAAAATATCCTCAAAGGTCTTCCTTGTACCAAACGCATTTCTTGCTCTACTCCATAGGAGCTACCATATACTCAATGTCGTTGGTTATACACAATTGAATAAGCATCTGTTGAAAATCGCTAAGACATCCTTACAGGCCTTCTATGTACGAAACCCATTTCTTGCTCTGCTTCCATGGGAGCTACATTTACTCAATGTCTTTGTCTATACACAATTGAATAAGCATATCTTAAAAATCGTTACGACATCCTTTATACAGGCCTTCGATGCACCAAACCCATCGATTGTCAGATGCTTGATTTCTGTACAATATACCAAATGATAAAGAACACATTATATCACACCGAGTATGAAGCCCTCGCAAACGGAACATATGCACTCACAAAAAAATTATGTATAAACATGCACATGAATATTGAACATCCATACCTCATATATTTATATTTTCTTTTATAGGTGCCATTACCCTCTCACGGTTCGTTTTGCTATCCACACGATACCCATCGAAGACTACCATCAATTTAAAAAAAAAATCGTAACCCATACGATTGTAGTAGTCTTTGGAATGTAGCCCATAAATTTAATAGAAATAGTTAGAAACTTTGATCGAGTACAATCTCTTATGAAGTTGTGTGCAATAAAACTCGTGTCTGCGCCTAAAACTATCTATATGGGACAACGTTGTTTGTTCATTAACGGACGACAACCATCAAATAAGCCTGTCACATATTTCTATACTGACTTGTGAACGAAGTGATACGTTTAACATGCGTGGTCTTAAGCTATTTAAGCTAGCTTCTCTTATCTTTACATTTCCAGTCAAAGCTATTATCAATTATTGAGTGGGTTTCGGTACAAAAGGATATTTTTGTAAACCGGGACGAATGGGGTTATAAAATATTACATTGGCCAAGTGCCAATATTCTATCAGTATGCTAATATGCGCGGGGTTTGTTTAGTCCTTTGCAAAGCCACCTTTCGAACAGCAATTATCCGCCTGGCTTGGATCCCCAACTCACATCCAGATGATGCGCGTTGCACCCACTCATTCAAGACATTGTTCGCTCCTTTAATCCGGGCACCTCTCATTCACGAACGAAGCAAGTTTTTTGGACCTTGGGTACTCATGGAGGGCCTGGCATAGAGACATATTCACTTACGACGTAGCGTTCAGCTTGCCCACTCTCGGATCTCAATCCCTAACGTTCCCCTTTCACTATTACCAACTATGAGCTATCAATCCTGCTAAAGGCTTTGTAGTACAATTTTCCAAAACAAGCCTCTCTGGCTCAGACAGAGAGCTGTCTCTGGGTAAATTCGACAGGTAAGTGTGCACCAGATAAATTGAGCTACAACACGATATCTAAATCCGCCAAACTGCTGCGCCACCTCAGGTCCACAATCTACAGTATTTGTTCGACTAGTAGCGTGGTACACGCAAGTGCAAATGCAGGATCAACGCATGTAGCCGGGTTGAATATAAAACACCCACCAATTTTGATAAACAAATTGAAACATTGTCCTATTAAAAAACCTACGACATCCAGACTATCGTAGCAACTGTGCTACTCAGATGTGGCCTGGTATGCGCTAGGAGGTCTGAAGCAAATATCCACTCCGTTTGTTATGATGGCGAGTAGCATCGATGGGAACGTTAGATTGGCTGGACCATGTTCAATAACCAACATGACTATGTTTTGAATGGAAAGGACCCGTGTTTTCAAATACGGGGTCCATGGCGAGTACTGTATACGGTCAGATCAGAAGATAGGTGAGAATCCGTTAAGATGTTGCAGCCCCTTCATCGATTGCCTGCGTCGGGAGGGCGGTATCGATATCAAATGGCACAGGTTTTGTTGACCCTAAAACGGAAACAGAGTTTTTAAGTTTTTTTCGTCCAGAGTGGTAGACTTCAAATAGAGTACAAATTTATCTGTGTGTTCATACGTACTTTTTAATGATCTCACCTTCTGATATGTACTGATGGTGTCTGTACTAATGGTCAATCACTCAGGTTGGCCAGAGTAAAAAGTCATATGATCAGTATGAGAAAGTTTATGCATAAACAATGATACATTTCTAGACTTCCTCTGTCACGTACTCTCGGGCTGGCCGGTGACCCACCTATACATAGAACTACTGGAGAACAAATTTCAAATTCCTTTCACGCGCTCGCGGCTGACCCACCTATAAATAGATCAATTTGAGAATGAGCCCCAAAATTCTCTCTCACCGATAATGTTTACCGATATTAACGTATGTAGAATTACGTTTATTCATGAAGTCTCTCAATAGCGATATTTAGAAACTGTCAACCTGGGACATTCAAGTCACAGAACCGTCGCCAAAAGATGAGAATAATGCGAAGTTAGCATACAGAACGGACTCAACCCCGATCCAGAAGCGATCTTTATAGGCTAATTTGAGATCATGTACAAATAAACAAAGCTATGTACCGTCTATTCCTCGTACTACTTAATATTACTGGATACTGTATATTATAAGACAGCTATACCTTTTTTATAACGCTAGTTGATCATAGATATTTCATACCTTGACCATGTTCTACCGAACAATTTCTAAAGCCACCGGTGCATGATTATTTTTGGACAGTATCCTAGTTAACATTTTGACCGTTGGAAATATGTATATGTATCCAGCGAGCAAACTTTATTTGTGAATTGGATCTTGGGGAAGTTTTATAAAAAGTATGCGTACACATGCAAATATGCATCCGATTTGATATAGGCATTCAGGCAGACGTTTTTGCACATAGTTAATTAAAACCAAAGAGCGGAGTGCACCTATGTTTCGTACGTGCACTTGTACGCGTTGCGTACGAATGTGCGTGTAAATAAGCATCGTCGCTATATATCATGTGCTTTGCAGCGCGTTCTTTTCTGATTTCTACCAATCAAAACCTATGCCTCGGTGTACGACAACGGCGCCACAACTATCCAGTATTTCTTGCTCGTAGACAGACTCGCGCGATTCTACGATTCAATCAGATAAAAATGCAAAATAATCTCCATTCAAAATGTGAACTAATGATATATTAAGTAGTACACACTTTCTGTGATATCACGAAATAGAAAAGAAATTCTCCTTTCGATGAGAAGAGTTGAGTCAGTGGACGGTGGATGTCGTTATTCTAGTATACACTGAACCGATCCCTTTCCAAAACTGTATGTTTGACTTTGCAAAGAAGCGATGAAAGCGCAGATTCTTCATACTTCGCATACATATGTATATATACAATTCGAATTGATAATATTCGTCTCTTTAAGTTAAAAAGTTTACTTAGGTATGGGCCTCACCGTATTCAAAACGAGCTTTTCACAAAAATAAAAAGAGTTAAATATAATCCGATATTTGAACAACGAGGTCCACCTTTGCCAGTTTTTGTGAAATCTATTCGAAAGGTTAAACATTGGCCATCTTCTACCGCCTTCTTCTCATGGTCGTTTCCAAGTGCGATGTCACAGCGTTTACTTACTTATAGGTAGGTCCATATCAAACATAGTCAAATATGAAGTTGTCTATCGTCCGGGAACGAATCTTCGATACCTGGCAACGCGCAAAAAAAATTTCTGCAAGAAACTTTAAATCGCGCTACGCGAATCGTCCCATAACACTGAAATTCCTAGTTCTATATTGTGGGTGGCCATTTTGTTCACAATAGATACCTCGACAATTAATCTTGGACGTGAGTTACCAAATGAAAAATCTAGGAGAAAAATTCGCGAACCGGGAATTGAACCCGGGTCTTCCGCGTGACAGGCGGAGATACTAGCCACTATACTATCCACGATATGTTGTGCGTGTTAAATTATATAATAATAAAATAAATATCAACGTTTGTTTTAGAATTTCGACTTGCTGGTCATACTGGCCGAAACGCACATGAGCAAGTGTATTCAATAGTTATACGCATATAGTTCGCACTAAACTTGTCTGGCTCGCAATCGTTTCAAAGGGAGGTTAGATTGCAATGAAGGACTAAGCATAACGGGCTATTTGGTCCACTGCTTGGCCATGGAAGTAAAATATGCACTGAATGCCAGAGGGAATGAACCCCTGCAGCCAGGTTATAACTCAGAGGAGAAGTAAACAAGTTTTGCAGCCTCGGGGCCAATTTATTCGTGACTGCACACTTGAAAGCGAATTTCCAACCCATGCAAGAGTCACAACCTTGCGATGGCAGTGTAGTGCCTAAACAAAACTGGTTCTGCTCGGTTCACAAGATACTTGCTTCTAGCAACGAACAGTAACGTAAACTACTTGTTTAATCGACCGTACACGTGCAATTGACCAGTGACAACCATGCCTTATGGGCCCCACAAACTTCATATACTAAGACGTTCGCAGTGATGTGTGTGTTGGCGAACACACGCACTCCATGTATTGTGTGCCTAGCAACATCTTGTGCTTTGCCCCTTGTGGTCTTCAGCGCGCGCCATCTCCACGATCTCACGCTTCCGATCTATACGTAAATACGTACTATCGCAACTCAAAAAGTACCGAATTTTGCGCCGCACCATCAACCATGAAGGTCCCAGAGGGCGGTAGAATGTTGAGGCCGCTAGTGTATTGTATCTTAACCAGATGCACTGACCATCGCCAACGCGCCCGTATGTGCAGAGCATCGCTCCAACACCCTCACTGTCGTCCTCACCGTCTTGGACCTTCAAGCATACGCCTTCTTCAGAGCAGCAAACTGGGCCTCACCCACACTCTCCTCCGCCCTCACATACTCCAACAGCCCCTCGAGCATCTGACTATGCGCCGTGCTCATAAACATCACCGCCAAACTGAACCGCGGCACCCCACTCAGCCCCACCAGTACGGGGTATACCGCCACGTGATCCCGTTTGTAGCACGTGCTCAGCACATCCAGCACGCTGGCCACAAACGCCTCATCCATGCACGTGGAGAAAACGCGCGCGTACAGTTCGGTACCGATGCTCTGAAGCAGCGCGTACCGCATATATATAGCATTTTTGGCCTCCTTCCACGCGCGCTCGAATTCCACGGCATTCTGAGGCGCTCGCACGACCACGTGTTCACTACCAGCACCAGCACCCACGTGCACAGTACCAGAACCTCTACCCGTCTCAGCCGATGTTTGTGTACCGGAGAGGCCTGACTGTTTGCTTTGTACCTCTGGTGTCGTTTGCTGGGGTGATGATGTGGGGCTTGGAATACTCGCACTCTCCGTATCCTCGTGGTGTGTCTCGCCATGTGCTTGCTCGCCTTCCCCTGAGGCCTTGTTTGCCCGTGACATCTTGGTCGAAGCACTCCACTGAGCCCCGACACTCGGTACAACCGGTCGGTCGCCACGGCCTACCGTGTCTGTGTCAGTGTTCAGGGCAGTCTTATCTCTACCGACCATCGCCCCCTTTGTGGCCCCTCTAGTTGTACCTACACTAGGTATACCGCCTTCCCTCTCCGAATTGCTTGCACCTACTTTTGGTATGCCCCTCGTTCTCACCTGACTCTTCTTAGACACACCAGTGCCCATCTCTCCCTCCGAAATGCTCGGTACCATTTGCTCGTCAACCTCTGGGTTATCCACTCGCACGCAATTCTTCGATGTATCGAACACCACGTGCTTCGCCTTATCACTAGAGGACAAAGCTGCACCCTGAACCCGCTTTTTCGGGCTCACGTGCTGTGTCGATTTTAGACTGGACTTGAGCACAGGTATCTCCTTAGTGCCAGGACTTGCAGAGTGTGCATGGCCTTCTTCTCCTCCCATGTCTGTCATCTCACGCTTGCTCGTGTCCTGTTGGTGTGAGTGTCTATCCCAACTCAAGCCCCTCTCACCCACATCCCCTACCACCGGATCGTCCAAGATCTCCACTTTCTTCTCATCCACTCTACTGTTGGCCGCCTGTTTATTCCCACCGGCCTTATCACTGGGAGATACACCGTCAGATCCTTCTCTAGCCGTCTCACCGACCACCTCGATAAGCGTTTTCTTGGGCACACTCTCCGCCTGTTTCTTGTTCTGCTCCTTCTGGCTCTTGCCCTTCAACCCCAATTTCTGCCCGATTTCCTTCACTATTTGGTCGGCCGTGGCACTGGCTTCCGCACTCATATCCAAACTCTCCACTGTCCCGCCTGTTTTATCTGTGCCTCTCCTCTCCCCAGCCTCAGCCCCAGCCTTAACATCAGTCCCACTAACACTTGTACCTGCATGTGGTACGGTGGGCCCCGTCTTTCTGCTAATGCTGCCAATTGGCGCGGACAGTTTCTCGAGCGCCGACTTGGCCTGGGTGTTGGTGGGTTCTATTTTTAGAACTGCTCGGAAGTCGGCTATGGCCAGTTCATCAGCGCCAGTGGCTGTGCGGGATGTCGCTCGTCGCATCAGTGCCTTCACATTCTTTGGGTCAATCTAGTTATAGAAACAGGAAGGGCTGTAGACTTAGCATCGTGTATGGTATGGGAAGTATCGAGTCGGGACATTCACGTTAGTGTATAATAAAAAACAAGTAAGGCTGTAGATGTAGTATCGATGATGGGGTTTGGGAACTATCAAAATGGGATTCGGAAAACATCGCAACGACAAAGATCGCCGAGTGTAGGCAATTGCACCAGAGGTAAAGCCAGGCCGACGTACTGGCCGAACAGAGCCCTGACAGTGTAGGTCAGGTGAAACGTATCTCATACTCTAAACCGTATCGACCACAGCAAACTTTAAACCCTAAACCCGGTTTGGCGACGCTACTGAACACCTAAAATCTACCACACCACGAAAACGTCACTTCCACACTCAGCCGAGAGAAAGTAGTGGTGAAGTGATATGGGCCGCGCAAATGGACGAATAATACACTGGGCAATGTGTAGCGTAATGCTGCTATAGCACGACCGCTATAGACACTCGAGTGACAAGTATTCGATTGATTCAGAATATATATATATATAACGCCATATGGTTTTTATCAGCCGGTAAATAAAGTGGTCAATGGCGAGCAAGAACTTAAACACGCACTCGCCCATATGTAATATCGAGTAAATGAAAAAAAAGGCTTAGATGTCCCGAACACCGACCCATTTCACGCTTATGCACACGCCCTATAGATCACACTACGGTCATGTGCATGACACCCACACCCACAATAACCAGGGTCGGGTAAGCGGTCTACAGCACACTTAACTGACCGACAGGGATCAATGGATCACATTACGTTCATGTCCATGACACCCGCAAACACAGCAACAAGGGTCGGGTAAACCGTTTGCAACACACCTAATTGACTGACAGGGCTCAATGGACCACACTACAGTCATGTGCATGACACCCACACCCACAGTAACAAGGGTTGGGCAAGCTCTTAGCAACACACTTAACTGACCGACAGGGCTCCATGGATCACACTACAGTCATGTGCATGATACCCACACCCACAGTAACAAGGGTTGGGTAAGCCGTTTGCAACACACTTAACTTACCGACAGGGCTCCATAGATCACATTACGGTCATGTGTATGACACCCACACCCACAGTAACAAGGGCTGGACAAGCTCTTAGCAACACACTTAACTGACCGACAGGGCTCCATGGATCACACTACAGTCATGTGCGTGACACCCACACCCACAGTAACAAGGGTTGGGTAAGCTGTTTGCAACACACTTAACTTACCGACAGGGCCGTATCACAGTCTTCTACCACACGTTCCCACTCGCCCACTTTGAGGTACGCCATGGCACGGTTGGAATAGTAGGTGCACTCAGTGGAATCGTAGTCAATCGCATCGGTATAGGACTGAATGGCTCGGGCGTAGTGGCCTGGTACGGACAACCGACCGCAGATGACAGATAAACGAGTTAGAGTGAGAATAGGGAATAGGCGCAGAGGTGTGAGTATCGAATATGTGATAGTAGCTGTATGGATGTCACAGCCACACAGACCCGAGAAACGTAATGCGTGGTCACGGGATACTGGTTGCTGGCTACTGGAGGAAGGGCAAGGAATGGGAGATACATATAGCACAAGCGTAACAATGAATCCGGTACTACATTCATGTGGAAGACAGAGCGGAGAAGTGCCACCTGGCGTTCCCTATATATATATATATATGAATATATATGGATCATATACTGTGCTATGCTAGTATAGTGACTGGGTGACCAGAATAGGCAACAGATGCAGGTAACGGACGCTGCAGACACAGGATGGACTCTATATACATTCAATGAGGGATACAACAGCCATGCAGTATAATGATAGCCGTATTATATAACAACAGTCATGTAATATAACAAACCGCATTTCCATATAACAACAGTCACAATACAACCACAGCCAAAAATATATGGTAGAGTATTGGTGCCAATGAAGACAGTGCTACTTGCGCCCCTACCTTCTTTGTAGTAGTCGTTGCCCTTCTCTTTCTTTCCATACGCTTTGGCCTTGAGCTTTTGGACCTGTGAGAGATATTGAGGAATTGGGAAAACTTGTGCTACATTGAAGGACCACGAGAGCGGTAGGGACTTGGGCTATGGCAGTGCCTATATCTCGATGAAGGATTATACCTTAGAATCAACATACTAAACAATCACCCTATATCTCGGGAATGGATGCAGAAATATTCCGGTAACTGACTGGTATCAGAATCATACACTAACTAAATGTGCGCTAACTTTATTGGAAGTAGAACTACCAGATTTTAACTGCAACAAACATATACATATACATGTGCGTAGATAAAGAAGCCCATTTTGAACCTTAAAAAATAAATTTAAATGGAAGTACATCATCATGATGTAACAATAAAACTATCCTATATATATACTCTAAACTCATTTTATGTCCATACATACATATATCAATATATCAATATATACTCGAATAGGCACACACACACACACACACATATATATATCTATACATACATAAATAAATATATATATATATACTTCAATGTATATATATACATATATATAATAATATATACACACAACACACACACACACACACACACACACACACACATATATATATATATATAGATACATACATATATATAAATACACATAATATATATATATATCATAAAATTAGTAATAAAACTAAGAATTTTTTACATATACAATACACACACACACACATAGATATATATATATATTTACATATAATATATATACATATACA